AGTCTTTACACCTTAACTAGAATTGTAGCCGACAAGTAAACAAGCTTGTGGCCTGTAATAGAAAACAGAGTTCATCATGTACTATGACATATTACCAAAACAATAAAAAAACAGAAGAAAAAGAGATCCTGGTGATCAAGTGTGTCCAGACTCCAAACTGCCAATTTGGGGCATAACGTCAACAAAAAAGGCTCTTGAATAGTCAGGACAAGAGATGGATCTAGGAAAAAGCTAGCCAATTACCTGAAACAGCTACTTATGGTTTGGCTTGGTATTGACTCAAATACTCCAAGAAAGGTGAACTAAAGTTGAAAATTCTTGTGTCTTTACAATTACCAATGGAAAAATATATCAAGAGAGAAAGAGAAAGGAGCTTGCGCAAGTGATTATAGAAGTTTAGCTCAACCACTTAACGTTCGATCCTCTACCTTACTTCACCCATCAAGAATTTCTTTCATATTCTCCACTAAGAGGAACAAGAGTGGCCTAAAGGAGTCACTAAATTCTTTTCACAAAGTGAGTTTTCTCACAATCACACCTTTTTCCAAAGTAAACCTAATAAATGGTTTTTTAGTCTAATATATACTAATAGGAAATAGGAAGACAATAATAATTCTAATTCAATTAGAATTACATTAATTCAACTTTGTTTTCTAGTTAGAGTAAAAGTTAGAATGGGAATATCCTTTTTCCTTTCCTCCAAGGATGTTGCCACTCTTAGTCCTCATTCGACTAGGAGTTATACAATTGCATCCTTTTCATACAAGTCCTTGTCCATATGGATTAGGGGTTTAGCCAATGTAGCCCTAATGGGCTACATTGGCCTATCTTGGATTTTTCCTGTTCTAACACTTTAATCAATCTAATCTTAAACCAATCTAGATTAAATAAATGTAATCCATTTTTCCATTTTAATTTTGGAACTTAATTTATTTATTTTTATACTAAAAATACTATTTTTACATAAATTAATCCTCTTTCCATAACTTAGATTATAGAGATCTAATCCCATAAAGAGCACTAAATGTATGATTTTCTAGATTTCTGTCACATAGGTAATAAACATGTATCATTAACCAAAAACGATATCTAACAACAAATCATATCATGGTCACCCACCCAAAGTGATAAATAAGTCAATGATTTTAGCAAACATTCCTATGATCAATACATTTATGCAATTCAATTCTTTTATTACTAATATCTCTATCAAGCAAGATGCATGTAAGAAAAGTTAAAATTAAGGACCATATTCAATAAATATGAACTTTGGGGATCAAAGGGCATAGGAATTAAAAGTTAAAGACTGATAATATAGTTTTACCATTAAAATTTAGAGGATTTTAATAGATGGGTGGGTGGTGTTATAACGACCGTCAATGAAAAGGGATGATGTTTGGCCTTCTTCAAAGTTGAGAGATTTTTATGAATGTTTTTAAAGTAGACAGAAATAATAACTCTTTTTGAAAAGTTGCGGGCATTAAGATGACTCTTTTAGTAGCATTTTTGACAAAAACTTAAAATTAAACAGTACTTGTTTCAAAAATAAAATTTTCTTTTATAAGTTCAAAATTTGACTTTTAAAATAATTTTTAAATAAATTTTACCTTATAAAATAATTTTTTAAATAAATTTAATAAGTTTTCTTAAATTTTATTTAATTATTAAACTTATTTAAAAGTTATTTTAAAAACCAATTCATTTAACAAATGTTTAACTTTATAAAAAAATTAATTTTTAAATAAATTACTTTTTAAATTTTGTCAAAAACCTTTAAGCCTCTACGAAATTTATGTTATCAAGATGTACTTGCTAAATAAAATTAACATTATGACAAACAAAGAGTACATATTGGGCCACTATTTTTCAACTATTATTTTAGAGCACTGTTATTTAGGATTATAAAGATTTCGTCGCACTTTTTTGGCCCCACTCATCTTCTTTCATCGTTTTATTTCTTGTTGCGACTCATATCCATCAAATTTTGATAAGAACCTTCACACAATCCAGTTGCTTCAATAACTCAAATGCCCTGTTTATGTCTCCAAGCTGAACCTCATGAGTCAAAATTCCGTCAAGTTTGATTTCCTGTAAAATGAAGTTAAACATTCTTGAGTTGCCTTTCAATCAAGCAAAAACATTTCGATTTTCTAAATATATAATTTATAGAAGTATTTTTCAATCAAAACTGCACAAAATCTTTTACAATTTGCCTTTGAGCTACGAAAATGTTAAAATTTTTTATTAAATCATATTTGGTAAAAATATTTAAATAATTTACAATTTGAACTATTTTAAATTAAAAGAAAAAATCATTTTTATATAATTTATTAGACAAACTGCAATTTTATATCACAAAATAATTTCCTCGAAAAGGTGTTACCTTATTTTTGCATTTTTTGAGCACCAATGGGAGGTCGGTTTTGGCTTTGATCCCTCCAAAGACAGATCCCTTCAAAGTTCTGCCACAAACAAGGGAAAGGAAATTTACCTGCATGTTAAGATGTTCTCCCGTGCCAATTATTATGGTTTTTCCGATTCCCTGGTGATCAAACTATTGATCAAAAATTTGAAGCATTCATCTTAGAAATGAAAATCCATAAAGGATACAACAGAATACCATCTTTGTGGCTTCAATTGCTTCATTGACTAATGGTGTAGATCCAGTGCACTCAAAGCTGTAGCTAACACCCATTCCACCAGTTAAGTCTTTAATCAACTTAGAAACTGGTTTGTTTGATTCCTCTGGGTTTATGAAATCAGTCATTCCAAAAGCTTGTCCCTTTTCCTTCTTTAAGGGGTTTTTGTCTATGCCAATTATTTTCGCTGCCCCTAGCATTCTAGCTCCCTCTACTGCCTGCAATTTTGAGAAAAATTTATCAGCTAGTTACATACATTACAATTAGATATACATTACCTCACAAATTAGTTTGATGCCGGAATTTGAAGTCTCATACTCAACTAGAGTTTCATTTAGGCTTTATTTG